CAAGGTGGGTTAAGTGTCTTGCCCAAGGACACAACAGCAGAATTTTCTGTCCAGAGCCGGGATCGAACTTGCAACCTTCCGATTACTGGACAACCCGCTCAACCTGTTGAGCTACTGCTGCCCACAAATTTCAACTAAATGTTTTTTTTTCTTCCAACATTTAATTTACAAATAATTTATTACATGTCCACCTCAGTGGACAGCGTGCGTTCTGAATATGAAATATGTTGGCTTACTTGAGTCCAATGGGGGGGGGGGGGGGTCAAAGGCAATAAAGTCTTCAACAGCTGTGCTTAAAGGGACTTAACAGAGTTTTGAATTTTTATGCTCGCAATTGCCCCCTCAGGCCAAAAGCGTAACGGCAGCTTCAATAGTCGGCTCGTGCACGAGGTGCGTATGCTGTACGTGCACACTCCTTGACGAAAATAACAGCTGAGACAGTCCCGTGTGTGTGTGTGTGTGGCCTGGAGGACAGGAGAACACACACAGCTAATTAATTAAATAATTTGGTTCTGTAGCTTTCTCTTCAGCACAGCCGACAAAGGTTTATGATGGGTCAGTCCTCCTGCATGCTCAGATCATTCCCTTCCCTTGCTTGAAAAATTGTTCCAAAGTGAAAGTTGAACCCACATCTTTTTTATCTGTGAATTCAATGCCGTTCGGCGAGTCTCAAATAAAAATTTGGGCGTCTTATTAATGTATAAAATATACCATTAATGTAAAAAAGAAACTCTAAATGAACTATGTTCACACCCAGAATCAAACCCAGGTCTTCAGCATGAGAGTCAGGCATCTTAGAAGGTGAGCTACACTCTAGTAACATTCACAGTATCTGTAACTTTTATATCCTTGATGACAGCTGAAACAACGTCAAACCAAAGAACGGTTCGGAGCGAAAATGGCTATTTTGTTGCTAATTAGCAGGAAATATCTAGAAAAAAGTTCTACAGAAAGTAGCTAAGGGTCCTCAGAAATGTAGCTAGCTTTGTCACTAGGCGTTAGGAACAGCGACAAAGTGGCACTACCTCTCTCTCTGCTGCTAAAGCTACGGATAGCAAATGCTACGGGCTATGCCTGAGCGTGAACGCGCATGAATCAGCCTGCTCGACCCGAGCACCTCTCTTTTTCTGTGATTTTACAGAAAAACAGGCAATCACAGTAAAAATGCCAGGGCTCATTCTACAGGACCATTGCAGGAGACTGTATGAAGAAGAAATTTATTATTTCTATACATGTTTTGGCTGTCAAACTTCCATAATGCCCCTTTAATAGCAAGAATAACATAACTATTCTGAGTAGCTGTCCACTGTAGTGACCATTATGCATGAAAGGGTTAATAATAATTTAACAAATATTAAATTCTGCTGTTAAAGGCCCCGTGTGTAAACTTCATTGAAATCATGATGAAAAATGCGACTCTTTAGCGCCGTGCAGTTCAGAGAAAGTATTGCAGCTACGGTGGCCCACTCATGACTTTGATTGTATAATCAATTTCCAACCTGTGTAGCCTAACCCACACAAAGCTTAAAACAAGCTACTCGACCTCTTTAAAAAAGCATTTATATTCATGACTGTTTTATCAGCCTACCAGTTCTGAAGGAAGCAAGCTATTTCTGTTCTAGTTTTAAATATTTGGGGACACAGAACGATGCTCATCTGTCCTTTCAACTACGCTCAGATTCCATTTACAATAAAGCACTCCAGCACCTCCATCTCATCAGGAAATTAAGGGACTTTAATGCCAGGAAAAACATCTTAACTGTGGTATACCATCATTTCAACGTTTAACATCACATCCTGGTACAACTTTCTCACTTGTAAGCACAAAAATAAACTCCAACGGATCACACATCAAGCAGGCAAAATAATGGGTTCACTACAAACCCCCCTTTCCCTTCTGTACAAGCGCTCTGTGATCAGGAAAGTCACACTGATCACAGAGGAACCTTCTCATCCTCTCCACCATTCCTTCAGTCTTCCATCAGGCAGGAGATACAGAATCCCACCGTCCAAAACAGCAATCCATAAGAAATCATTCATAGAATCAGCAATCAAAGCCCTCAACAGACACAGAACTTCAATTCCCGCACACAATTTTATGTGTTTTAGGCTTATATCTGTGTTTTTATGATATTTTATTGTATTTACTGTTCTATGAAAGTGTGAATGATGAAGTGGATGATGATGAGCCCTGTTGAAAGACAAAGTTCTGTTTGGTGTCAGACAATAATGTTGTTCTATTCTATTCTACTCTTGAAGCTGTCACGGTTCACACATGGGGGAGGGGTGACGTCAGCCGGGAGGTCAGGTGTTGCGAGAAATTGTGTTCCCCTGAAATATTCATCCAGAACATCTAAAACATTTCCTGTCCTTAACAGATCGAGTAACAAAAGCTCAGCAATAATAAGTGGAAACAGCTTTTTTCTAGCAGGATGCAAATGTTCTGTATTCCTTTATGATCCGCTCACAGAATATTTATGAAAGTAATCACAACAGCATGCTGGGAAAAGTCAGTGATGAGGAGTGAAATCTAAATGTTATCAGATCTAATTTCTTTGGTAAAAGGAACTTCCATAAATCATTTCGTCCCAGAGAAAGATTTTACTACCCCGTCTTCATTTTACCCGGGGTGTTGTGGAATAGGGTTGTCACGGTAACCGGAGTAGCGGTAAAGCCCGGTAACAAAGTTGACAATAATAATAACCGTCTTGTTTAAAAAAAAAAAAATTTATCTCGGTGGATTATTGTGGCTGCGGTGTAGGCGCGGTGACCCTTACCAGCCACCGTATCATCTGCTGAAGTTGCCGGCGGCACATGCGCGCTTTGTTGTTTACAACCAAAACTTTCTTGAAGCTAAAGCTGAAATAATGGCCAAAGGAGGAGACGGCAGCACTCAGGACATTTATTATCCCTCAAAGAAGACAAAGTGGGAAGGACAGACATCTTTTGGATATCTGAAGAATGCTGAGGGACAGCTGATAGAAGACGGCTATCCTGTTTGCAGCACGTGCAGAAAAAGTGTCTGTGAAAGGCAGCAACGCTTCAAATCTCATGACACATCTGCGTGACCATCACCCACAACTCTGCAGTCAACGCAAGGCAAGCTAACATTAGCGTTTTAGCTAAAATGCGTGGTCCGAGGATTTGGGTTGAGGGAGAATGCAACGAGTCGCTATATAAAGCAGCCGCAGCGCCGCTACCTGCATATAAACCGTGTCACGGACACCCCCATGTTGAAATGACGCTATGCATTACGGGGCTCCCAGGGGCAGATAAGAGTTGGTCTCTCTCCGAGAATAATTATGAATTTAACAATGATTACTGCCTGATGACATTTTCCCAAATCTGCAAAGCTCACTGGAAGGACACAAACCGAGGACAATATTTTCCTGATATAGAGCTCCGGGAGTTGACGTCACTTCTCCCGGCATGCAACAGTTCAAATCGAAACGGCGCCATATTGGCAGGCAGAAGCCCGCAGCTGGACGATTTGTTATTGTCAGAAAACAATCAAATGGGAAACATGGTAGATTCCTGTTGTGCCCCAGGATGCAGAACAGACGCGGACGACATAAGGAATGAGCCATCTACAGGATTCCCCAAGATCCGGAGCGCCGCAAACGTTGGATCATTGTAATAAAACGCGCTAGTGACCGGGCTAAAATGAAACTGTGGGATCCCGAGAGTAAAGGTTTTCGCTTATGCAGCGACCGCTTCATATCAGGTACTTAAACCAATGTTTCCTCAACTGTGTACGGTATTTATTTTAAATGCTTTTATTACGATTCTTAGTGGGCTTCCTAAACTTATTTTGGCGGGGCTTTTTCTGTCTTATTACTCATAGCAACAAGTAAACGTCAAGTACAACGTTGCCTCGTGTTTCTGCGTGCTGCCGTTTACGTGTTTTATGATCACAGCAATTAACCGGCTAAGCTGTATTTAATTTTTAAGCAAAGGTTGATTAATTGTCAGATCACACATGAAAAGCACTTTGGATTGCTATTTTCTGTCTCACCGAGTCAGATCTCAGACAGATCCTGAGACGCTCCAGCCTGACATTTTTATTTTATTCACGGAAAAAATCAAACTAGTGATTTCTCTTGGCGTTCAGTTTATACATTAAAACAGCACAGCACTCTATTTAAACTACTTACATGTAAATCTGTTATTTGTCCATCCATTTTCATCTGCTTATTCGGAGTCGGGTTACGGTGGCAGTAGCGTCGAGACTTCCCTCTCCTCAGCCACTTGGGCCAGCTCCTCCGGGGAAATCCCAGGGGGTTCCCCAGCCAGGTCCGGTAAGAAGTCCGCTCCGACAGCTTCTGGCGTTTTTAAAAAGTATCCCAGGGGCACGGTAAGGGTCGGAGATGTTTAGTCTATTTAATTTCTGACTATATAAAACGATTTCTTCGGTTTTAAAGTGTGAAGTAAACTCAGACGAAGTAAAATCCAAGCTGATCCCGTTCATGTTCATGTTTACGATCCGTGTTTGTTTACCTTTTTTGCCTGCCAATATGGTGTCTACTAACTGAGAGTCACGTGGGGTCCGGAGCTCTATAGGGATTATTACTCAAGTAAGGGTAAAAAAAAAAGTATCTGATTAGAAGGCTACTTGAGTACTGAGTATCATCTGATCTAATATTTTTTAAAACGATGACATCAAACAGACAACAAATAAGAAGTTATGGGCAAATATTGGTATTTTAAAGACTAAAGGGGAAAATGTAAACAAATAAACAACATAATTATTAAATAACAAATTTTAGGCAAAATTTAGACACAAACTGAGGACATTCCCTGATATACAGGGTTTATTTAGTTGTCTGAAAATGTAACACGTTTAAAAAAAATACAGCGATAATACCGAAAACCGTGATAATTTTGGTCACAATAACTGTGAGGTTAAATTTTCACACCGTGACAACACTATTGTGGAATCAAACATCTGTAGTGATGAACTGAATCGTGACGAAGGATCGCTCTGGGGAACAGTAACTCACTTTGGAGGAAGGTTGGGGGGTGAACGTGGTTTCAGCTTTTCCTCTTCCTTCTTCTCCCTGGCTTCTCGAGGAGGACGGATTCTTGGCCTCTCCTTCTCGTCCCGCTTCAGCCGATCCCTCTCCCACTCTTCTTTCCGTTTCAGCCTCTCCTTGTCACGCTCCCGTTCTCTCTCCCTCTCACGCTGCCGCCGCTCCCTCTCACGGTGATCTCGTTCTCGCTCGCGATCTCGATGGCGCTCTCGAAGCTCACGTTCTCGCTCCTGCAGATTAAGTCAACAGTGAAAAATGACGAAAAAAGACATTTTTGCCTCAAATCTGTTTAAAGTTTACAGCTGGAAGTCGCTTTCTACGTAGATGATATCTGACACGCCTCCTGCTGCTACACATGATTTATTTCAAACAATATTTTTTCACAACATTAACTACAAAAAAAGGGATGCTGAGTTTTCCGCAGACAGCAATTAAGACACATGAAACAGAAAATGTCATTTTATCACGTGAAATGACAAATAAAAACAATATGAGGGTTTATTTATGAGTTGGGCGGCTTCGGCTTTTATTCGGGAAACTCACAGCGAAGTGGTAGGGAAGAGGAGCTTCTGTGTACTGAACCCGGAAGTTCTCATACTGACCCCCCCGCCACAAGGCCTCCATTTCATAGTCGTAGTACGGGTCAGCGTAGGCGTCACTAGAGAGGAGAAACATGGTTCAGAACGACTCTAAAATAAAGAAAAGTTACTTTTGTTTTCATGACCAAAACAAAAACTAAACATAAAAACTTTAAAAATATTTAAATTATTGAAAAAACTAAAGCAAAAATCCCATTTTTATTGGATCCTTCCAGAACCACGACCTTATAGGTAGCCTAAGTAACTTCCGCATCACTGGTCCCCGGAAGAACGAAAAAATGAATGCAAGCCAACAGGGTAAAAAACGCTATTTTCTAGGGTTGCACAATATATCGTGAATATATCATTATCGCGATATCAGCATGCACAATATGCATATCGCAAAGAACAGATAACTATCGCAATGAATGGCCAGCTCAAATGTTTGCTACACATAATGCATTCTGTCAATCAAACGGGAGCATGATTTTTTTTAACAAATCAAACAGAGCTCTTCACCTATTTGGCCAATCGGGTGGGTTCTCATTGGTTAGATGCCCGCCCCCGAGGCAGACGGCACTACATTTTGATGGTTAGCAAACACCTGAGTTAGCTTTGTTTAGCTCTTTCTGCTGATTCTGCTTTTCCCGGGACCCACTGATCGCCTTTTCTTGTTCAATTTCCTTTCCCCTTTCCTCACATCTTTTGCATTTCTCATTTTTATGATTTTTTTATTTCTTTGTTTTTGATTATTTTTGTTCCCGAGTTAAGTTTTTATTTATCGCAAGTAATATCGTCACCGCAATATTAATCACTGTTATCGAATATCGCAGGTTTTCCTAATATCCTGCAGCCCTACTATTTTCTAATTCCGCTTGTTTTGTGCCATGGATTTCACATATGATGTCCGTGAATCTTAAAGACACATTTTGATACCAAGAACACGCTTATTTTCAAAACAGGGGGTAATGCAATTTTAGGTTTTGTGTGAAAATAAGTCCAGGACTACAAATGCGCTTCACGAAAGTGATGCCATCAAACCAGTAGCTTTTGCTCAAAAAAACAAAACAAAACAAAAACCTTTGCTTAAATAAAATACCACTATGATGGGCACCACAGGGAAACGAAGATGAGGCTTCTTTTTAACACTTGAACTGTGCTTAACACGAGCCGTTAATACGTCACTACCAAACTACAAATACAAAATTAAACAAAAAGAAAAATCAGACTTTCTCTTCCAGCAAACATATTTGCTGTGCTTCTATAAACAAAAAAAAAATCAGTGTTTGTACTTCTACCGTGTTCCTATATCGGTCCGTGCATCATGACGTTGCTCAAAGAGTCACATGCACAAATAAATCGGCCATCGTCATTTACAGGACGTAGGATTGTTGGTGGGAAAAAGCGTACAAATCACCCAACCCTAAAATGAACATCCCATAACACAGATGGTCTATAGAACTCAGGTTAAAGTTATATTTAATCATACCCATAGAGAGGATCTCTGAAGTCCACTTCACTGAAAGAGAAAAACAAAATAAGTTGAATAAGTATTGGTATTTATTATTAATTAGGAAAAGTGTTTTTTCTCTAAGGGAAACATGACCCGTGCCCACTTTTTACGAAGCCGACTCAGAACCACGACCAAAACAGAAATATTCCAGGCTGGTCCAAATTAGGGATGCACAGATACCGATACTGGTATCGGTATCTGTGCAGATACCAATACGATACTGGCATCGGTAAAAGTTAACCGATACCAGGAACCAATACCAATGCAGCTTGCTTGAAAATGGCTTCACTGTAATTTGTCATTTTTGTTCACCTAATATTTTAGTTTTGTGATGATTTCTATTAATATATTTTACTTTTTATCCACCTCACAGTCTTTTCCTGTTGAAAGCAGAGAAGAAAATAAAATCTGTATTCCAAATCATTGCATTTTTTTGTGTGGTAGAAGTATAGGTATCAGTAATCGGTATCGGCAAGTATTCAGATCCAAGTATCGGTATTGTATCGGTTTGGAAAAAAAGTGGTATCGTTGCATCCCTAGTCCAAATGTCAAGTAATCACATTACAAATGGATTCCGACCCAGACGGAGTAAATATTGTGATGGTAAACGGGTCTTACTCTCTGATGATGCGGTAGCTTCGCTCTCTGAAGAACTCGTTCTCTTTGTCAAACTCTCGCTCGTCCTCTCCAATCGTCACATTAAACCGTTTCTCCTCAAAGTCTGGCTCCTGCTCCTTTCGGATGGTCGCCTTCTTCAGCATCTGACAGCAACAGAAACGAAACAGTCTTAAACACAGATGAGTCTTTTTAAGCTGGGCGGACACTGTGCGACTTTTTCACTCGTAGCACTCAGCTTCAGCTCAAACTGTACGACTTCCTGGCAGGGCAGATCTCACGAGTCATGCGCTCACACTGTACGACCCAGTTCTCGGATGCGACCTGACTGCTCACACTGTACGTCAGACCTAAAAATATGCTAAAAATAGCCGTTTTTACACAACACGTGAGACTTTTTTGTCTTGCCTGTTGTCCTTCGGGAGTGCTGCAGGAGGACACACAGGGATTTATGGGGGTTGGATGAGGAAAACAAAAAAATAAAATAAATCTGTGTTTTGTGATCAGTTTAATTTGACACGAACACGACAAACACGCTTTCTTGACAATCTTTGTGAGTAAAAAAACATGTAGAAATAAAAACGAACAACGTGTGTTATTAGGGAAATAGCGGGCGAGCGGTGATGAAGCATGATTACGCATGCGCCGTGAGCGGTTCTGGTACTTTTTGGGTCGCAGCTGCTCACAGCACTGCTTCAACAGTGCGATACACTCACGAGGGACGAGCAAAACATCAAACACGCCAGAAGTCCGTGCAAGCTCACGATTGCTGATCGGTAGCTGGTCAAGTGGTGTTAATCGCCTCTCGTAACCCCCTGTACACTACACGACGCTCAGCGCAAAACTCGCCCCGATCTCGTGGATTCTCGCACGAGTGGAAAATCGGCTCAAAAAAGTGAAAAAGTCGCACAGTGTACGCCCGGCTTTACAAGGATCTACAGGTGGTTTGATGATAATAAAGGTTGGTTTATGCTACGCATTCGCGAGGTCCGCACGGCTCCGCGAGGAAAAGTTGCGTCATTTTGCGTCATCTTAACAACCACGCCCCTCCACCGCGCCTCCGCACGGCCCAAAATTTCCGCAACGCGCACCTAGGAAATTTTCTAACCACGCGGACGGTCGGACGCGGAAAAACATGGCGGACCGGCAAGAACTAGTATGGCAGAGGTTCGTAAATACAGACATTTGTATGATTCAGCTCTCAGAGATCACCGTGATCAACATGTTGTTAATAATTCTTGGAGAGAAATAGCTCGCACTGTCGGAAAAGACGAGGACGCTGTTAAAAATGCTGGAATGCCATGTTGTAAACAGTAATTTCTACTTCTACTATGGTGTAGTGTTGGATGCATGCCGTAGAGCTCCATGCTGCCCCCTACAGTTTGGGAGAATATTGGCTCACCGCAGAGACAAGCCGCATGAACCATAAATGCTGCGAGTTGTGAAGCACGTTCCATCTGTGAGCCGCATCACCAAGCGGAAAGTAAATGCGTCAAGCATAAACCAAGCTTTATGAAGGTCACAGGGGAAATCTGTGAGTTCTGACCATCAGGCTCGTTCAGTTTAGCTTCTGTGAGTTGGGAAATGAGACATCTTTGGGAGGGGTTGGGAAACTGATTGCAAATGAAATGAGAATTTTTTTAAACGAATAAAAGCCTGGTGAGGCACAGTAACATTAAAGATCTAAAAGCTTCATAAATGAGGCACAACCGTTATAAACATGGAGTCACTGTGCCAGCTTTAGTAACTAAAGAACAGGCAGCTGCAGAATTAATGCTTCTCATTTGTCTCATAAAACACGAGAGTTTTTAGATGTCGATAAAAAGGTTTTCATAAACAAACATCAGCTAACCGGGGTAGGGAACATGTCCTGGACAGCTGAACGGAAAAGGTGACGGCACAATAAACTTGCAAATGCAGCGTTTCCAGGCCTATTTCCATCTGGTGTGAATGCGTGACTGAATAAACATTTTAACAGCAGTTTAATCAAACTGGGAGAGCGTCGTCCCAGTTTGATTTGCATGGAGAACAGAGAGAGAGTTCACCTCTTTAGCGTGCCTCAGCCCTCGTTCCCAGGCGCTCTCCACAGGAGGTTCCACAGGGGGAGGAGGTGGAGGGAGTTCCTCCACCGCGGGGGCCGTCTACGACACGGAAACAGACATTTATGGTTTTCAGGTTTCAGATAAACAAGGGAACCCAGCCCCTTGTTGATATTACAGATGACATTCATGATGAGTCACTCCAGCAAGACTCACCCAGGGGTTGTTGGGGAGGAGAGGGTGCGGTCCACCAGGGGGCGCTCCATTGGGTGAAAAAGGGTCCGGCTTAGTGATGAGAGAATAGTTTCCTTTGTCGTTGACTCCGGGATGGATGAACCTGCAGTTCATACCCCAGGTACAGTTTCCTGAGAAGAGACGGAATAAAAGCATACTCCAGGTGAGAGAGCTGCATGAGACCGGAGGATCAACCCAAACTTGTCCATAGGCAAGCAGAAAACCGGAAATCTTCATACAATCTTTAACTTTCTAATAAAACTAAAAATGTTTGAATAAAAACTGGTCTGCAGCAGCGCTCTGACCAGGTTCTGCACAGATGCTCTGACTGGGTTCTGGTCTGCAGCAGCGCTCTGACCAGGTTCTGCACTGGTGCTCTGATCGGGTTCCGCAGCAGTGCTCTGACCGGGTTCTGCAGCGGTGCTCTGACCAGGTTCTGCACCAGTGCTCTGACCGGGTTCTGCAGCGGTGCTCTGACCGGGTTCACTCTGCAGCAGCGCTCTGACCGGGTTCTGGTCTGCAGCAGTGCTCTGACCAGGTTCTGTACTAGTGCTCTGACCAGTTTCTGCTCTGCAGCAGTGCTCTGACCGGGTTCTGCAGCAGCGCTCTGACCAGGTTCTGCACTGGTGCTCTGATCGGGTTCTGCAGCAGTGCTCTGACTGAGTTCTGCACTGGTGCTCTGACCAGGTTCTGCACCAGTGTTCTGACCAGGTTCTGCACCGGTGTCCTGACCGGGTTCTGCACCGGTGTCCTGACCGGGTTCTGCACCGGTGTCCTGACCGGGTTCTGCACCGGTGTCCTGACCGGGTTCTGCACCGGTGCTCTGACCGGGTTCTGCACCAGGGCTCTGACTGGGTTCTGTACTGGTGCTCCGATCGGGTTCTGCAGCGGCGCTCTGGCAGGGTTCTGGTCTGCAGCGGCGCTCTGACCAGGTTCTGTACTGGTGCTCTGATTAGGTTCTGTATTGGTGGTCTGATCAGGTTCTGCAGCAGCGCTCTGACCAGGTTCTGTACTGGTGCTCTGATCGGGTTCTGCAGCAGTGCTCTGATTAGGTTCTGTATTGGTGCTCTGATCGGGTTCTGCAGCAGTGCTCTGACTGAGTTCTGCACTGGCGCTCTGACCAGGTTCTGTATCGGTGGTCTGATCAGGTTCTGCAGCAGCACTCTGACCAGGTTCTGTACTGGTGCTCCGATCGGGTTCTGCAGCGGCGCTCTGGCAGGGTTCTGGTCTGCAGCGGCGATCTGACCAGGTTCTGTACTGGTGCTCTGATCGGGTTCTGCAGCAGTGCTCTGACTGAGTTCTGCACTGGCGCTCTGACCAGGTTCTGTATCGGTGGCCTGATCAGGTTCTGCAGCGGCGCTCTGACCAGGTTCTGTACTGGTGCTCTGATCGGGTTCTGCAGCAACGCTCTGACTGGGTTCCTCACCATCATTAATAACAGAAGTTTGTGAAGCAGCAGACTTTGTGACACAAATAGTACGCCTGTTGTGTCAAAGGAGAACTGTGGAAAAGAGGAAGCAGAGTGAAAACAGGCCAATGGGAAAAATGACGCCACGACAGAATCTGATCTGAGGTCTGATTGGGTCATCATGATTTGACGTGTTTCACAAAGACCCGTTAGTGTGAAGGCTTTACGGTGCTTTCAGAAAGGAAGTGCTCTGGGCTCGATGGGCGAGTTACACCCAGAACACAGGAGAAACGTACCTTTGTACAATACACCTATTATATTCATATGACATATTTTATACGCAGCTGATGATACAGTTAGTTACCTAAATTTCCCATTAAGTTTTAATTCTTTGCCAGATGTTGCATGATGTCATCAGACAAGACATTTTACCGCAATGCTGATTAAACTGGGAAAATGTATTATTACATAAGATTCAGATTCAGAAAACTTTATTGATCCAAAGGGCAATTAATTTGTAGCATACCACAAAAAACAACATTGTACAAACAAACAAACAAACAATGTATATCACTACCAACATTACAGTGCTGTATATCCATCACAATGGGCCCATTCTCAGAGTCCATGTTTCCTTCCAGATTTAACAGTTTAATAACAGAAGGGACAAAAGAGCTGGAGCAAGGATTTGTTTCCCTGAAGGGTACATAAAAACAACGCTCTGTCTGAGGGCATGAGTAGAGTAGCTGACCCAAAATGCATTTAGCCTTCTTTAGTGCCTGCTCCTCCCACAGAGACTGGAGGTCTCCTTGTTTAACTGCAATGATTTTAGAGCAGATTTTAACAATGTTTTGCAGTTTGTTCTTATTTTCCACCGACAAGCCCTTGTACAAGCATGTGAGGAAGTTAAAAGGCTCTAGATGAAACAGCAGTAAAAGTTGCGGAGAATCCTTTTATTCACATTAAAATCATCCCATTTCCTTAAAAGAGATGCTCTGCTGGTTAAAAAACGGAGTCTGAGTTTGTGTCAAACCACAACTTGTTGTCAATCCAAGAACCAAGATATTTATACTTATGCACCATGTCAACCACTTAGCCGTGGATTACGCTGCTGCCGTGAAGGGACGGTGTGGAGCGTCTAAAATCTATAACCACGTCCTTTGCTTTTGAGATGTTTAAGTCCAGATTGTTTTGATCACACCATTCCAGAAATTCTGACAATGCAGGGCCATGGTTCCTTTCAGATCCAGACAGTAAGGACATCAAAACAGTGTCATCCGAAAACTTAACCAAGAACCTGTTGTTCTGAGTGAGCTGGCAACTATCTGTATTAGGGCTGCAACAAACGATTATTTGGATAATCGATTAATCGGATGGGGTCTCGACACGATTAATCGATTAATCGGATTACATGGGGAAATTTTTAAAAACTGCTAGGGAAACGTTATTTCTCTCCTTCCTTCACTTTATTTAACACAACATTATTAGAAAACAGTTCAATAGCAGAAAAACAACATGCCATCACCTAAATTGTCTTATAAGGTGTATAGACAGAGACCCTAAGCTACATCTATCTGTGACCTAAAATGCTTGGTCCAAGTTAAACAGCTTAAGGGCAATTCTCATCTGTTTTGTTTGATCTCATCTGTTGACATTTATTTTAAATGTAATTAAACATAGGCTGTGAATTTATCAAAATTGATCACTATTTCCAAAAATGACTGAAAAAATACCAAATAAAACAAAAGTAAATGAATGCCATCCTCCTTGCGATGATGCCCTGGGCAACTGCCATAAAGTCACATCAAGAAATGCTGCTGATCATTCCAATGATCCCAAATAGACTCACATTAGGCCACATGAAAGCAACTGAACCCAAAAATATATTAACCAGTATATAACTGCACTCTCACACAACATGCCTGCAGCAACAGTTAGGACTCCTCCCTCCCTTTTAAAAGCGTTTTTGCTTCTGAGGACATTGTGGTTGTAAAACCACATGCTAGTAGTCTGGCCCCGGTGTGATCAACCAGTTTCTGCGGGAATGTGACGGCGGAAACTGGGCCAGATTAACACTTTGTTGTACCCTGGGCAACAATATTCAAGGGCTCCATCATCACGACCCAAGGATCACCATAATGTGGTCACATACAGAATATTTTACTGTAATATGCAGTAAATATACTCAATACTTGAATGCCTGACAACACGTAACCCGCCCAGAGTAACCTTTGACCCACCTCATGTGGACTGACCAATGAGGAGAGGGTCTTAACTTGAGGCCCTCTCTTCATTGGTCAGTCTGCATGAGACTGACTCTCAACTGACGTTCAGTCATTGGCAGCGAAGCGTCTCTGTGCAGTGCAAAAGCCCGGGTGGACAGTTTGTTTAATGTAGGGTGACCATATTTCCATTTCCAAACAAGAGGACAGGGGATCTGTGCCTATGACGTCACACTATGGCAACGCCACACAAACCATGTTGGGACCCATTTTTTGTAAGAACTAAATTAATATCAGATTCTGCCAATTAAAGGGCTCTAAAACAATTCATATGTAAATATTTTGCATATTTAATGCAAAATCTAATTTTTCTGCTTTAGTGCTGCAACAAGGTTTTATTAATAATAAATTATTATACCTTTTGTTTTACTACAGCATCGGTAAGCTTCCTGTGCACAGATTATTAAGGATGCTTGTTTCAACTGTGAGATTAGACGATAGGATCAATGAAAAAATAAGTTGTCACAAACTCCATGGAAACTTTCAGAGAATCCACAAATAGTGGCTTTCAAATGGTTTTGTTACTTTTTGCAAGTTTATAAAATAAGCAGATGAGACAGCATGTCTGATAATTTAGTTTTTCATCTGATAATATTAGAGCATGTCAGTAATGTCTGAGGGGCTTTTATAAACACCATATAACTAACACTACTGGAGAGGGCATGAATTACACAGAGGCTTCTGGGGAGCCCAGTTATTGGGGGGGGGGGGGGGGGCATTTTGCCTTGGCCCCCAAAATGTCTTGAAACGGCCCTGGGTGTGTGACTGAGTTTTGAAGGTGATCTGAATTGTATCAGATGTATAAATATGACATGTGTATAACTTATTATTTTTTACTGGTAAAAACGTTTAGTGGAGATAAATCTACCTACATTTTACTTTTCAACACTTTGTTTTGTTTTCTTGTTTTTATTGAACTATTTTCCTGTCCTGTCTGTCTCTCATCGTCCTGCATCTCCTCTTAATTCTCCAGAAAAACTGCTGCCTGGATTCTTACCTTTTCACCTCATCAGTTACTTTTGAGCAGGTCAAAGGGATCTCCTGACCGAAAAGCGCAGAGCGCGTTTTCGATGCTGCGTGAGGTGACATCACCACAGCACAGGTGATGAGCTCCGCAGTAGCGCACTTCAGGCACAAATAAGACAGAAAATAGAGAACATGTGCGGACATGAACGATCGTGTGCTAATTATAGTTTTTGGGTTGCGCCACTTTGAGAATGGACCGTGCGCTGGAAGCAGCTGCCTGGATCGCTGTGCAACAATGCGGAACCGGTTCGCAGCAGCTCAAGTCTGACGGCTCTCCCTCGCGCTGATCTGCGGCTCTCCCTCGCGCTGATCTGCCGGCTCTCCCTCGCGCTGATCTGCGGCTCTCCCTCGCGCTGATCTGCGGCTCTCCCTCGCGCTGATCTGCGGCTCTCCCTCGCGCTGATCTGCGGCTCTCCCTCGCGCTGATCTGACTTGCTCTGGTCTGCGCGCAACGGCGGGCGGGAAGGGGGGGCGCTTTTGGAAGAGTTGTGCGACACAACGAATCGATGACGCAATTCGTTGCCAACGCTTTTAGTAATCGATTTTCATCGAATTTATCGATTCGTTGTTGCAGCCCTAATCTGTATACAATATGAACAACAAGGGGGCAGAACACACCTAATATATTTATTATTACTCTTCTTCTTGAAATTCACTCTTCAAATATGTCATGCATTTAAATTAAATCATCTTTTATTTACACTGACATTTTCTATTTGTTAGAAGTTGTTTGCAAACATCCGGTTTATGAGATTTAAGATTTTAATGCGTTTGTATGAAAATCTTTTAGTAAAGTTCTGTGTTTTCAGTACCTAATCTAGCACCTTTGGTCTCCCACAGAATTCTCCTTAGACAAAAGCTGGAAGCACAATGAAACTGAAACACGAAGCTCAACAGCTCCCTATGCTGTAGAACCTTTCTGATGATTTCAAAGTCTAAAGAAAAACCCTGAAAGACCCTTAAATCTGAAGACCAGGAGCACTGACACCACAGGAAAGTCTCAACAGACATAGACAGAATCAGGGGATCACTGATGCATCTAATGCACACATCTTTAATGTAATTCATCTGATAATATCAGACATCCAGATGTTCTAAACACAATTCAACTGGAAATAAAAGAACTTTCTACCTTTGATGAAAAACCTGCAGATGGGGCGTGGTCTGATCTTCCTGTCTGAGGGATCTTTAACTTCACCCTCCTCCAAGTCGTCATCCTGCAAATACAAAGAAAAGGTGACATCACAGTAAATCTTAAATCTTGCTATTTTATAGAAACTTATTTGGCAGATGTTTTACTTTTGGTCTTGTTGAATGAGTAAAATTATAACAAATGACTTTTTGCTGATTTGACAACAGCTGATCGGAGCTTCATCTAAACTCCCACAGACTCATTAATGCAGAATGATCACAAACTAAATACTTCTTGTCCAACAACCCTAGAAAGTTTTACCTGCTGCTTTTTATGCCTCAGATTTAAACATCAACAATCTATTTAAGCTGAGAAATAGTTGAGCTGCTGCTTTTTTGGTCAAATCTATTGTTTTGTTAGTGGGGCGACGGTGGCACAAGAGTTAAGTGCCCGCCCTGTAATTAGAAGGTTGCAGGTTCGAGCCCCGCTCAGTCTGACGCTGTCATCGCATCCTTGGGCAAGACACTTAAACCCCTTGCCTGCTGGTGGTGGTCGGAGGGACCGGTGGCGCCTGTGTTTGGCAGCCTCGCCTCTGCCAGTGTGCCTCAGGGCAGCTGTGGCTACACCGTAGCTCATCCCCACCAGGGTGTGAATGGGTGAATGACTGATTATGTTGTAAAGTACCTTGGGGGGTTCCAGGACCCTAGCCTATATCAAATACAGGCCATTTACCATCCTGTTGGAGTGGATGTGAGCAACCCTCAAGATTTTGGATCAATCTCTAAATCTGACTGATTTATGGCTGTTTGTCTATGTGAACATCGATTAGCAGCAGCAGCCATGTTGAATGGAACTGACTTCAAAACATAATTACCTATAGGTGACCTAACACACACACACACACACACACAAGCACGCACGCACACACACACACACACACACATTTATAAAAAAAACAACAACAATATGACAGCACCACCTGTGAAAACCACTGAATGCAGCCGATAAAGGGGCCTACAGAAATCATGTCTGGAAACAGCTTAAGAAAACAGAATTGATCAATAAAAGTTCAATCTAAGTAACCGCCACCCCATTAAGAGGCTGGCTGCTGGATGAAAACATTTGAGCTGGTGGTGCCTCCTGGTGGCTGAATTTTCAACTTTTGCCAAAACCAAAATGAATTTATCCCATCATTGTGAATTGTATTCTCCAGTGGGACAGCCTTCTTTATCCACCAGGAGGTTGGGACATTGGTACACTTTCATTTATAAGGCCATGCTTGGATTACTACCCACCTCTGTAACTTAATCTCACGGAGAAGTGGAACTTCTCACAGTAACATCGATCAGTGTTAGAGCTACATTCTATGGAACACTTTCAACTAGTCCGCTTGGTGATGCGGCTCGCGGATGGAACGTGCTTCACAACTCGCAGCGTTTATGGTTCATGCGGCTCGTCTCTGCGGTGAGCCAATATTCTCCCAAACTGTAGGGGGCAGCATGGAGCTCTACAGCATGCATCCAACACTACACTAGCCTGGCAAGCCAGACTAAATAAATGTATTGCCAGACTAAATAAATGTATTATTTAGTCTGGCCACGCTCCATTGACGGCTCTCGGTTGTGGGGCGGGTTCTTCCGTTGTCTTTCAAATGATCTCCGCATTCCACTGGACAATGAATGTGACATACTCTTGTTTCACTCTGTTGCATCATCCCACCCACCAGGCATACAGAGTGCCCTGATTGGCCCACAAAGCGGATAAAGCTCTGTGATTTGTTCACTAAGCAGATAGAGCACTATGATTGGCCCACCATTATGGACCAATCACAGCTCTTTATGTGTTTGAAACCCCTCTAGAGAGCTGTGATTGGCTAGCCAGAGTCCTGGTAGGAGCTGTTGAGGTTCCAATGGAGCATGCCTAGACCATTCTTTGCAAAGCAAGAATTTGGTCTAGTTCACTAGGCTAACACTACACCATAGTAGAAGTAGAAATTTCTGTTTACAACATGGCATTCCAGCATTTTTGTTGGCAAAAGGAGATCTGAGAACTCAGGAGATACAAAAATAAAAAGCCTTTATTAGTACATGGCTTAAATTGTTAAAAACATCAATGCTAACGCGTTTCAGCCCTCAGGGCCTTCGTCAGGGCTAAAATGTTTGTATGCTCACGAATTTTGAGCCCTGACGAAGGCCCTGAGGGCTGAAACGCGTTAGCATTGATGTTTTTAACAATTTAAGCCATGTACTAATAAAGGCTTTTTATTTTTGTATCTCCTGAGTGCCTCAGATCTCCTTTTGCCAACATTTATGTGGATCCCTTGGCTGAAGAGCACCAGTGAGAGCACCAGATAAGATTTCTCACACCCCTGCAGCACTTCCAGCATTTTTTCTATTTGCATTCCAGCATTTTTAACAGCATCCTCGTCTTTTCCGACAGTGCGAGCTATGTCTCCAAGAATTATTAACAACATGTTGATCACGGTCATCTCTGAGAGCTGAATCATACAAATGCCTGTATTTACGAACCTCTGCCATACTAGTTCTTGCCGGTCCGCCATGTTTTTCAACGTCCAACCGTCCGTGTGGTTAGAAATTTTCCTAGATGCGCGTTGCGGAAATTTTGGGCTGTGCAAGGGCGCGGTGGAGGGGCGCGGTTGTTAAAATGACGCAATTTCGCTGCGCGGAGCCGTGCGGACCTCGCGGACGCGTCAAGCATAAACCAACCTTTACATGTCACCAGAACATAACCAACCGCAACACAGTAAAAGCAGTGTTATACAAAATGGATAGCCTGTAGGGCTTATTCTCTTACAGTACCAATTGATCACTTTTTTGAGGAATTTATTTGAGATTTTCTGGTTTTTATTAATTGTGCAATAGAAAAATAATAATAATTAGATTAATTGTCTAATTAGTCATTAGAATCGTCGACTATTCGATAAAATAATCATTAGAATAATCGTTTTAAAACCAATTGTTGCCTCCCAGCCCTAGTTGATACCGCCTTCTGTAATTTTGTACATAACATGCTTGTGTAACTGAAACATTTTGTAACTGTAACTTTTGTTAGCTTCTTTCAGAAGAACTTGCATTACTATAAAACTAAACGCATTACAACAGCAAAGTATAACAGTTACAGGCCGAGGACTAAGAGCCAGTGGCCGTAGACCAGTTGCAAGTAAAAACTTTGCTCTTATTGTAAATACACTAAAAATATCAGTTGGTTAGATAAAAATGTCATCAGTGTAATGATTTCCATTGGATTTAGAGCTACATTCTATGGAACACTTCCAACTAGTCGCTAAATTTGGTCAGAATATATAAACTTCTCTTCACTGAGTTGAATTTTGGCTTAGATGACGACCCCCCCGCCCCACACACACACACACAAAAGATGAATTATTTTTTTAAAGAGACAATGTGTAGTTTTTACCATTAAGCTCTGGAAATATCCATCAAATGTTGTTGAAAATAAATGATGCCCAGTTTTAAAAGAATGTTGGTGTCTTTGTAACATGTAACCATATAATAAACACAGTTTTACACATTTATCTCTTCACTCGTTGCCACCGATGAAAGGGAGTACAGGGGTTTTCCTGGCTCAAATTGAGGCAGAGGTGGTACCATCCTGACCATGCGCCAGCACATGCATATTCTGTGCATTCAACTGCCTCACCTTTTTAAAGGCCAAATATTTTTTCGTTAAGTGTTCTAATCTAAGCTTCTGTTGATTAATAGTTTGACAACGTTTCAAGTTAAACAAAACTGGTTCGCTGCTAACAAATATGAAATAAAATAAAATGATCAGGCTGAAATAACAGACTCATTATGAAAGGCTCAATAATAGAGCATTAGATTGGTGTTTAGTTCCCTTTTTTCCATCTGATATTTATAGTTAAAAATATTCTTAAATATTTGACCTACATTTCAGTAACATTTTAGGTTTGTATTAATAACACTCATCTTAGTCAAAATGACACATAAATATATCCAGTAACATATAATGCATTTCATTAACATGCATTTGTATTGGAAATGGTAATAACATTTCATTTCTGCTGCTAACAATGTAATGGTGGCATGTCTATTATGTACAGTTCAATAATTCAGTTTAAATTATGTTCAAAGATAGAAGTGTTTGTGAGTTATATACTACAACAGCTTGCCGTACTTCCTGCTCCTGTGTGTGGAGCCGACTTGTAGCAGTAATGTGACTCGTATCTGCAGCGGTTCTGATCCGTAGCGCTGCAGGATGCAGAATAAACAGGATGGTGGGGACTTTTCATCTACTTGTAGAGTTTAGTCTTTCTTAGTTTTACAATCATCATATATTTTTCTGTGCACCACTTGATCGTGAGAGTGCTACCCGTTAGCTTTAGCATTAGCCAGTCTGCGTGTAACTGCACTTTTGATCCTAAACTTTGGACTGGTTCAGCCTTTGCTGGTTCCTTTGTTTTCCTTCACTGCATCCAGATTTCCACACTGTGTGCCAGTAAAAAGCATTTTTCTTACACGTAACTTACTTTTGTTCAATAAAGATCTGGGTAAAATAGTAATTCAAAGATGTTGCACCAGTGCTACGTTTAAAAATAGACAGTTTTTTTTCGTGGCACTGTACAGCCCTGCTTGGATATGGAAGAGCCTGGGGGAAAATCAGGACGTAAATAGCACCAACCATAGATACAGGTGCTGGCCAGTAAATTAGAATATCATCAAAAGGTTGAAAATATTTCAGTAATTCCATTCAAAACGTGAAACTTGTACATTATATTCATGCAATGCACACAGACCAATGTATTTCCGATGTTTATTACGTTTAATTTTGATATTTATAGGTGACAACCAATGAAAACATCAAATCTGGTATCTCAGAAAATTAGAATATTCTAAAGGCCAATGAAAAAATGTTTGTTTCTCTAATGTTGGCCAACTGAAAAGAATGAACATGAAAAGAATGTGCATGTATAGCACTCAATACTTAGTCGGGGCTCCTTTTGCCTCAATAACTGCAGTAATGCGGCGTGGCATGGACTCGATCAGTCTGTGGCACTGCTCAGGTGTTATGAGAGCCCAGGTTGCTCTGATAGTCGTCTTCAGCTCCTCTGCATTGTTGGGTCTAGCGTATTGCATCCTCCGCTTCACAATACCCCATAGATTTTCTATGGGGTTAAGGTCAGGCGAGTTTGCTGGCCAATCAAGGACAGGGATAGCATGGTCCTTGAACCAGGTGCTGGTGGTTTTGGCACTGTGTGCAGGTGCCAAGTCCTGTTGAAAGGTGAAGTCTGCATCCCCATAAAGTTGGTCAGCAGCAGGAAGCATGAAGTGCTCTAAAACTTCCTGGTAGACGGCTGCATTGACCCTGGACCTCAGGAAACAGAGTGGGCCAACACCGGCAGATGACATGGCACCCCACACCATCACTGACGGTGGAAACTTTACACTGGACCTCATGCAACGTGGATTCTGTGCTTCTCCGCTCTTCCTCCAGACTCTGGGTCCTTGATTTCCAAAGGAAATGCAGAACTTGCTTTCATCAGAAAACATAACTTTGGACCACTCAGCATCAGTCCAGTCCTTTTTGTCCTTGGCCCAGGCGAGACGCTTCTTGCGCTGTTTCTTGTTCAAGAGTGGCTTGACACACGGAATGCGACACCTGAATCCCATGTCTTTCATGAGTCTCCTCGTGGTGGTTCTTGAAGCGCTGACTCCAGCTGCAGTCCACTCTTTGTGGATCTCCCCCACATTTTTGAATGGGTTTGTCGTCACAATTCTCTGCAGGGTGCGGTTATCCCTAGAGCTTGTACACTTTTTTCTACCACATTTTTTCCGTCCCTTCGCCTGTCTGTTAATGTGCTTGGACACAGAGCTCTGCGAACAGCCAGCTTCTTTAGCAATCACCTTTTGTGTCTTGCCCTCCTTGTGCAAGGTGTCAATGATTGTCTTTTGGACAGCTGTTAAGTCAGAAGTCTTCCCCATGATTGTGGTGCCTTCAAAACAAGACTGAGGGACCTTTTAAAGGCCTTTGCAGGTGTTTTGAGTAAATCAGCTGATTCGAGTGGCAGCAGGTGTCTTCTATATTCAGCCTTTTCAGAATATTCTAATTTTTTGAGATACCAAATTTGGAGTTTTCATTAGTTGTCACTTATGAATATCAAATTTAAATGTAATGAACATTGGAAATACATTGGTCTGTGTGCATTGCATGAATATAATGTACAAGTTTCACGTTTTGAATGGAATTACTGAAATATTTTCAACCTTTTGATGATATTCTAATTTACTGGCCAGCACCTGTATGTACCAACTAGCGAGAAAAGCAATTTTTGATCTTTTTCTGCAGCAGTTTAAGTGCTTTTCGGTGCACCGCTGCTGATACAGCGCCCCGGTAGTGACGCAACGCTGCAACTGCAATTACAATAACATCCATATAGCTGGGGGCAGAGTGAAATCAGGCTGTGGCGGCACAAAATTAGCTGGAAGCGGCCGCCACACAAATTTGAATGCAGGAAAAACCCTGGAGTCTGATGTGCTTGTTATTTT